GTGTGCATGTGAGTGTATGTGTGTATATGTGTGTGTGTGTGTGTGTGTGTGTGTGTGTGTGTGTGTATGTGCGTGCGTGTGTGTACGTGTGTGTGTGAATGTGTATATGTGTGTATGTATTTATCTTGCTGTTCTTATTGGGTTTTTAAAAAGTAATTTTGTTTTGTTTTAGCTTTATCCGGAGAGTGGGGTGAAAACCCCCAATACTTATAAAACTACACTATAACGGTCATGCATTTTTTCTTCAAAAAATGACAAACGGACGGGACCAACGGAGGGATTGTAATGAAATAGGACAACCCTTCAAGGACCAAAACATGAACAACAACAGCAATCTTTTATACATATTTTCTTTTTAGTTTCAGATTAAAAAATTAAAAAAAACATCGATTGTAATGGGCACCCGATGTAGAGTTAGAGTCGAATCTCTTAACCCCCCCCCCCACACACAAGGAAAATTTTGACTCGTAGTTGTACTCAGAAAGGATGAAAATTGCCTCTTTAAAACGCTCTCAGCCTTGGGACAGCTAGACATTTTTCTACCTTAGAGTTCCAAAGTTCTAGCTGACATTTTTGTGTCGTTGTAAGTTATAAAGAAAATAAGGTCAGAAACCAAATGTTCTTAATTTGTTCTTTAAAAATTGTATGATTATTCGGAGTCGTTATCAAGACATGTTGTGAAACTCAAAATTGTTGACGTAAATTTTTTAAAAACTAGGTACTGAGCTGAGAGAACTTTGTAACTCTAAGTTAAGGTAGCGATTACTTTTATTTTGTGCGCAGCTTAAATAGAGGGTTAGAATACGAAAGAAATGATTAAAAGAAAAACAATAGACCGGTAGGGATATGGATGGATAGGGACAGTTTAGTTTTAGTAAGTGTTTTACGGCACTTGCAACACAACAAGGTCATATAAGTGCCGATGGATAGGGACAGGCAGAACACCTTTCTCCATCTCCTGGGATACTGGCTACCATTAAGGCAGAATAACGGGAAAGGTCATGACGTATACCTGCCTGTTCCCTACGATTTCGTAGTGTACGTAGAACGCAATGCGCGTATTCTAGTGTGCGTAGTCCGAAGTGTGTGTATTCTTCTTGTGTGCCTTTGCGAGGAGTGAATTAATCGGCAGACACTATTCGGAGACGTCTCCGACGAGCACGCAGGAACTATTCGGAGACGCACTCCCGCACACAGATGAACTGCTTTGGGGTGTCAAACTGCGTAATATTTGCTGAAGATCACACATATAGCCACTAAAACATTCGCAAATCAATTATTTTCACGAAAATTTCAAACTTAACTGCAAAATATCAAATTATGGTTTAACCCCCCGCCCCTATTTTTTTACTTGGTCCAGAGGCACAAAGCATTTTCATTGGTCTACTTCCGTTGGAGCTGTCTCCGAATAGACACTGCGGAATTAATCTGACGCAGCAGCAGGAGGGAGGTAGACGGACAGGCCCAGGTGGCTTGCGTGGGATCTACTGACAGGCGAATTACTCACACACTGACAGTCCCCAGGGGCATACTGCAGGCAAGAAACAGCCTCTATACATATCTATTTATCTCGCCTCCCCCTCTCTCTCTTTCATCTCTCTCTCTCTCTCTCTCTCTCTCTCTCTCTCTCTCTCTCTCTCTGTCTCTCTCCGTCTCTCTGTTTGTGTGTGTGTGTATGTGTGTGCGTGTGTATGTGTGTGTGTGTGTGTGTGTGTGTGTGTGTGTGTCTTTGTATGTGTGTG